TACCCACAAGGACCCACAAAAAAAAAAGAGCAAGCATTCTACAGCCAATTTTTCTGCGAAGGGGCAAGCCAGCCGCTGCCTTATAGTCTACAAGCACCGTTTCGGAGAGAGGAGTTTCATTAGGGTAAGAACACTGGGCTGGCAAGTGCGGAAGCTATCAATTCAGCCAATAAAATTCCTCGAAGAACCCGATTCGGTCGCGTGCCACCTCCTCTTGAAGCTTTTCTGGGATCGGGATCGGCGTGCTGAGTCAGGAGCAAAGAGACCCGGTTTGAGATGCTTGTTTGGCCACCAAGCTTTTGGTCAGGCCTGTGGACACTGCAGGACCGTTGTGTAGATAAAAGGAAGGGAGGGTAAAGATCTAGGAATATGTAGAGAAGTAAGGAAGATGACCTTGATGCAGGCACCGTATCCTAGGCAAAAGGGGCTGAAACACTTTTTAAGCCCAGAACATTGAGATATAAGATTTGGAAGTCTCTCAGGTAGACACCTCCCTGATTCACTGGAGTGTAAGAAGGAGAAGAAGGTTCAGCACCATCAGGCTTGCGAGATTCTGTTATTCTAGCCAGTTTCAATAGATGTAGTTTCAGTCTTTCTATGGAGATGGTTTCCTGGTTTGGTCTACCTAGTGGGGCTGGTAGAATATCATCCCACACTGCTGGAGGAAAGGGTGGGAGAGGCCTGCAAAGATGTTCATGAGTGGGGTTGAAATCCCCAAATGAGGGCTAAACAGCTATGCCTGACCTCTCCATTGCATCTTGGGCTGGAGAAAAAGCAAAACACAGATGCTTTCGAGCAGAGTCAGAAGCAGGAGGCGTTGAATTGGGTTGGGAGCGCAGCTCAGGTAGATGGGAAGGTGAACGCTGGGGAGATGCTCCTCCTGTGTTCCCTGCTGTGGAGCTCTCAGTATCACATCTGGGTCTTGCCTAGGCGCAAGGTCAGCCCCACAGGTCTCTAACTGCCTCCTGATCTTGTTTCTTTGTTTCTGGAAGAGGGGAAATATATTCGGGTTTTTTTATGCAGCAGAATTGCTTCTCTCTTCTGCTGTCTCTGCCCCATCAAACATCTGGGTTGTGAATTCCTTGGGGAGAAGCCTTTCTCATCCCCTCTCTTCCTCTCGCTTACATTTCTGCTGTGCGGCAAAAACTCTGGTTAGATGGCGTTCCCGTCCAGAAAAATGTGCTCTGAAATCCACTCCGGCCCCCAAGGAGAAGGGATCTCTGGTTGCCATTTGAACAAGAGGGGGAAGAAATTTAAACAGAACAGGCAGTGTGCAAGGGGGAAGAAAGGAGACTTCTGTCTGAAGGACGGGGTGATGTCCTGCCCCAAGGATGAACTATACAGTTTCAGGGATTGACTTCTGGCATGGGGTGAGTCTTGAGCCTCCCCCAACTTGGAAAGCTGCCCAGATTTTTCTCCTTTCACATGTTCTTGGTCTTTCCATCTCCCTCCTTTCCTTGTGGCATAGAATAAGTCAGTTTTCCAACAGCCTCTCCCGTATTCTCCAGTTGGGCAGTTCCCTCCAAGCTGGACCAGTGAGGAACAACATGGAAATGTTTTGCTGTTGTGTCCTACTGGAATGTGGCTTCAGTTTCCTTGTTTAATCTACAGTACTGAAAGCTCTTGGCGGTCTACAACCCATGTCCAGCCCTACTTAACCTTTCTAAGAATAGTCAAGATCAGCTAGGTGGTACTACCTGCAAGATTTCTTAGTTTTTCAGTCCATATCATTTATGCAAAGACATGGGATCTAATTCACTTCCACACTGCAGAAGTGAGCCATCACCACTGATGGTTCTCCAGATGTTCCTGCACCATGGTTTACATCAGCCACAGCCAGCAGAGCCAGTGGTGGGGTGCTGGAAGCTATAGTTCAACAATATCTGGAGGATCACAGGCTACCCAACAAGGGTTTGTATGTACCTGCCTGAACATTTAAGACCTGCAAGGAAGAGGATGCGAGAGAGAGACGTTTCTGCTATGGCTCCTGGAAGGCAACCCTGCTTGCATTTGCAGATTTACCAGTCAGCCTAGCCACGATCTGTTGCCCCTTGTAAAAAATCTGTGCCTCTCTGTTACGATGGGATGGTTACAGTGCGTTACTCTTTTAAACAATCTTAGTTTTCTTTTACCCTAGGGTTTTCCGGTGTCTTTTATGGATCCAAGCCTGCCCTGAGGTCCTTAGGATAATGCATGGGCTAGAAACATTTTAGTAAAATAAATGAACAGAGACATTTAGTGCATGGTACAGCTTATGATTGTCCTTTAAGCACACAACCAGTGGCTCCAACCAGAGAAAAAGATCTTGAATAGCTTTTTCCAGCTCAAAGCCTGGCTTTACTTCAGCCAGATTGTAGCCTACAGGTATCACGAGGAGTTCCCCAGGATGGCAAAGCTGTGCTGGTCACACATTGGGGCAAGATTCTTTCCCCCAGCCTAACCCTCAGTAATTTCTTTGTGAAGGTGGAAGCAGATGTTCTCTGCAAGATACAGTGGCCTACATGAGGTGCAAGGAGGGTGGAGCAGAAGATAATAACCAGAAACCATAAAGAAATGCTGGTTTTCTTCTTTCTCTCCTACCCTCTCTCAGTCTCTGTATGTGGCTTTGCCTCCTTTGTTGGAGTGTGACCCCTTCCAAAGTGAAGGCCGGGACAGTTGGCTCTCCTCACCCCTGGTGCCTGAAGAAATCCGCAAAGTGGTGCTGATTTACCAAGCTGCCCTGGACCTCCTCCGTCAGTACAATGTCCACCCTGAAGTCACCTCCCAGATGTTTGCCTACCTCTTCTTCTTCTCCAACACCCTCCTCTTCAACCAGCTCATGGAAAAAGGTGAGTTGCTTTCCACAAAGGCAGGAACAGTTGGCTCATCCTTGCTTGGGGAACTCATAAAACCATGGGGCACTTTGCTCTTTCCCCCAGTGAGCCTACAACGCAAAGATGGCAGTATCTGTCTTTTGCTTTTGCGAAGCTTGAGGAACTCTAAAAAATATATTGGCCAGATGTGGTAGATCCATCCCTGTTCTTGTTCTCATGTCCAGGTTCTTCTCTGGGCTGTTTCCACTGGTCAAAAGGTGTCAGGATCCGGACCACCCTGCGTCTTCTCCTGGAATGGGCCCAGAGTGTGGGCTTTGGGCCATTGGCAGACCAGTTCTTCAGCAAGCTCTCCAGCATTGCAAGCTTGTTAGCTATGCCAAATTCTCAGCTGCTGCAGGTGAGTCTGCAGAGGAGTGAGCACTGCATGGCTGACGTTTTGAAGGCCACACAGTCAGAAACATGGGTCAGCTCACAACCAGGTGTGGCTGGCTGCTTAAAATAGTGAAGGGCTGCCACAGACATCCAGAAGTTCTAGGATGGGGAAGGTTTGGCATGCCCATCTTCCTAGACCAGCTGGTTTGACATAAGACAACATTGGCTTCAGGCACTCTTCCATTGAGGCCATTCACCCTCTTATCAAGATGGGTCATGGATAGACCTTTCGGTGCTGTCCCACAATGCAGTGCAACACAACCAAAGGGGAAGGCCCAAAAATGCCACTCTGTCCTGGCATTTTTGGGACCCCAGACAGCTCCTCCGGCCTAACTTGCATTTTGAACTCCAGGAAGCTTTGTCACAACCAGAGTCTTCTAAACTGATTTTTCAGCAGCACCCAGCCATGCTTGATCTGTCGTCAGCGAAGGCCAAAATGTGGGTTTTCCATGCGCAGCCAGGCTGCTAGAAATATGTGTCACCACCTTGTAAATGGGAAAAAAAGTTCCCACTATTTATAACACCTTACAGGGTTATAAATTTCTGCATTTATAAATGGTGCTTGTTTTCTTCTGCTGCGATATTTTTCTTAAAGAATATATTCAATTACTGTGTTTGCTCTGGCTTGCAGTGGGGCTCTTTCTGGGGAGTTTTTCAAAACCTGCATGTTATCATGCATGAGATGAGCACAACTGACAAAACTTAGAAATAAGCAGAGTTGAAAAAACAGAATTTACCTGACGCTTCCTTACTTTGCTCAGATGACCTGGCCAGTCTTGAGAAGTGAGTTTCCTGCCTTGAACGCAGCACAGCTCAATCACGTCCTGACCCAGTACCAGGCTTCATCTGCCATGGGGTGCATTCCTGCTTGGCAACCCAGCAACAATGATGCTCTTGCAGCTGTGAGGACAGGTGAGACTTGAGATGATGTGACTGGGCTGGTTGACCTGGAAAAATTCAGGCTAGAACCGTGGAGAAATTTCAGCAGAGATCCATTAACATGTTCTCCCAAACCTGTTGGCTACCAAGAGAAGCTGAAGTCTTAGTTAGCGAAATAACATGGCCCTCAAAGGGGCACCCTGGGGATCATCCGCAATGCCCCAGCATTCCTTTATTGAGGATGTGGGGGAAAACAGCTGGATCTTTTCTACATTTGTGAGACATTGAGGCCAAATGGGTGCCACTCAGCCTGGCAGATGTTTATAGGCCCCAAACCTCCCTCCCAAACTGGATCTTTGGCACTGCCCACTTTTGGACTTGACATGGAGTGCAAAGCTTGATGGGGTGTTGAGTTGATGGATGTTGTACCCCACACAATGTAGGAGCAATGCACATGGCCCACTCCAGCCTCAGTTTGGCAACCCCCTCAAAAAAAGCATATGTTCCTTGAACCAGGATTGATTTTTCCCCTTCAGGATGGCACAAATCAAACACTTTGCCCTTTAACCCCCTTCCAACCCTCCCATGCCTAACAAACAAGGGTTGACGTGCTGTCCTTTGCCATTCTCAGAATCCAAAAATGGGCCTTAATTTTTCCATACTGTGGATAAAGGTCTGCAGGATTCAGTTGGGACCTCGGGAAAGATCTAACGTTTCTGTGTTCTTTGTTCTGGGAAAATGTTCCCCTCCTTTGTAAGCAAAGGTTATTTACCTTTTATTTATTTCAGAAATGCATTATTAGATCGTTATTTATTTGGTATTTAATTTATTTAGCAGCACAGGATTCAGATAAGCCTTCTGGGGTCTTAGAATTAATGATTCCTCAGGTATTTTGACGAATCTTGTGTGAAGTGTGCCACTCTTTGCCGGTTTTTGTGCAAGGGAGCTCATCACAACGCTTGACTCTCCCCTTAATTGTCTCAGTGCGTGAATGTCAGCTATTTCCCAGGGTGTTCTCATGCCAGGGGAAGCGTAAAAATGATGACAGAAGACTGCTGTGATGGAAAAGATGTCTTCCCCTTCCAAAGAGAACCTTGGTAATAACTATTTCCATCCAGGGATAATTTTGTGTCAAATCCATAAAAAGTTTTTTTTTTTTTAAACTGATCATAGCATTTGATGGGTTTTCTTCCATCGTGGAAGAGCTAATGTGGAGAAAGAGCACATAGTAGACACTTTCTTGCAGCGTCATGGAAGAGCATTCCCCAACCTGGTGGGTCCAGATATGTTAGTCGGCCTTGGAGGGAAACCTGATTCAAGCATAGATTGAAATAAAATTGTTGGATGGGGGGTGTCATTGCAGATGATATCATGGAGTCTTTTGATAACCATCCCCCTATCATGCTGCCCACCGGAGGGTTCAAGGTGGACCTGGAGACTGATCAGCTTGATGACAACGTCTACCGGCATCTCCTCTACATCCGCCATTTCCTGTGGAGCCTACGCAGCAAAAGCCCCCACTCTAGTGACTCTCTGGAAGCAGAACCCCCAAAGGTAACCCCACTTTTCAATCTGGATGTATTTCACAAATTAGATTTTGCCTTGGTCTGCATAACTCAGCAGAGTTATGAATCTTATAAAAGTATAGTTTCCTTGGAGTCCAGCTGGGTTCCAAGGATAATGTGGGGCATCAATAGAAATGTCTTGGCGAGGGAGAAAACCATAAAACAATCCTTTTATGGGGGAAGAGTCATTTTTCTTTGTTTTCATACCTTTTTCTTACAGACTGAAACGGTCAGCTGCCAAATGACACCCCCAGGGGAGTCCGAGACAATAGTTGGGTCGGTGGGGAGCGCCTTTGACTGGACGGATGGCAGGCGGACGATGAGCTGTGAGAATCCAAAGATGGAGGGGAACATCTCCCTGGTCTCTGGTACCAACGGATCCATCCCAGATTACGGGACTTGTGAGACACAGCTACCGAAAACTCTCCAACAGCAACATCTTGAGGGAACTAAGGGAAAGAACGGGACCAAGGCCGTCACGATGTCCATCGATTCCTCTTGTTTGCTGACCCCACCCAATACACCCCTGATCTCTGACTCCACTGGTCTTGAATCGCCCCCAGAAACGGCTCCTAGGAAGGACATCCCAGACCCTCGGAGAAATGGACTGAACGGCACCCAAGCTGCAACCCAGGAAGGTATGAAGGGTTGTTCATCAGGGTTGGATGGTGAATGGTTTGACCTTCACAATGAGGAAAATGCTGAAAGGAAACCTTGATTTAGTTCCGGGGGTCAGGATCCTTGCCCAGAATGGCACTGTTGCAGAGGCAAGAAAAGCAAACGGCTGGAATTGTACTCTTGACTTCTAGATGGATACTGTGCTTGAGTTTATCCATTGCATGAAGCTGTAATTCATTCAGTTGGGGTTTAGCCTCAATGCATGGACTCAGCCAGGAGAAAGATTTAAGCCAACCCGGGTACCAGCTGAGACAAACCAGTGGTGGGGCTTTGTGAATTTGTGCTCCTTTCTCGGCAGTTTTCTGCCCATCGCCTTGCAAGATTGATTCTCCATATTGATCAGTAGCTTTTTCTAGTGGCTCTTCACCTACTTGCAAGCTACAGCTACAGAGTTCATTTTCTTACCTTCTCATTCTACCACGCTTTCTGACTGCCACGGGGAAGACGCTGCTTACCTCTCGGTTTGCAAAGCAAATGTCAGTGGGCAGGAAGGAAAAAAGGAGACCCAGGGAGGTACAATCCCTTGTATGGTTCAGGGTTGATTTAGCTCCAACCCTGGTGAAAAACGAGCTGCTGATGAAGGTGACTGAAGTTACCAAATTCTCCCCAAGCCTTCAAGGCTAGAGCCAAGGAATGCAAATGCATTATCCTGGTCCTTCTCCTTGGAGGATGGAGGCAGCTGGAGAGGATTCTTGCCAAGTTCATTTGGAGCAGCAGAATCCAGCCTCAAGGCTGGAGACAGGTTTGGTGGCTTTGGACACTCCTCCAAGTTTTCATCTGAAAAGTTCTTGTTTCTGTAAAAAAAGGAGGTTGAAGTTGAGAAGCCGGTCAACCCTTCTCTGGCCATGGTGGAGCTCCAGCTGACCCGGGCCTGCCTGAACTCCAACTTTAGATTGTTTGAAAGTTCATCCCCATTCAGAATCCAGAGGGTTTCCTCTAAACCCCACGCTTGTGCTGAAATGGCCCCGAAGCAAGTCAACTGCATGATACATCCCACAGGCAGATCAAGTTGGGCGATCCATGCTGGGGAGGTAGGAACAGCAGCATTGTTGGGCCCCTCTGGGCAGCTGCTGAAGCCACTGGGTGCTCAAAGTAGCATCCCACTGGAGCATTGTGGGAAACTTAACTTGCAGGACCCTGTGCTTTCAGAAGGCTGCTGATGTCCAGCACCGTGAGCACAAACACAGGGGGCTTTGACAAGAGTGATCTCCAAGTAGCCAAGGTAGAATCAAATGAGTCCATTCAAGACCCCCAAACCAGAGATGGTCCTTTGACTCCTGTTCCCACCTGGCAGGAGGAACCTGGGTGCCAGGGTTTTCAACGGTTTCCCAGCAATGTGCAAAGATTTTATGCTTTGGGGGAGCAGCCAATCTGGTTTTATTTAGGCATGCTTTTTCCAAACCGCTGACATTATTATAGCGATGATGATTACCTGCTGCTGCTTTTATAAAAATTGCTGGGCTAATGCTGCTTTAGCTCTGGGCTATTTTAAGCAGGGGTGGGGGCTTTGTACTCTGTATCCCACTGTGCTAATCGTGCCTGGAGCAGCCTTACCCATCTTAGGAGAAAAAGGGAAGAGGAATGAAAATGAAAGGCAAGAATAGAACACAACCCTCTCCAACCCTGTGGGTGCATTGGAGCAAATCTCAAAATTCCCAGTGATTGCGCAGGTTAGAAATCCAGCTAGATCCAGGTTGGGGAGGCTGGATTATGGGATGAGAAGGAACTGCCAAGAGTGTGCGATGTTCATAAAAGTACCATCTGGCCAAATTGTTTTTCTTGGCTTCAGGATCTTCTCCCACACCCTATGACTTTCCTACGCCTGCTTCTTCGAGTCGCAGCTCAGCCACGGATGATTTCTGCTACGTCTTTGTGGTGGAGCTGGAAAAGGGGCCCATCGGCTTGGGAATGGGACTGATTGATGGCTTGGTAAGTAGATTTTCTGGGTTAAGAGGGGCAAGGCCTCTTTCAGAACAAGGATCACAATGGTCTCTGAGTGGCTTCCAGGGGCCACGCTCCCCAAAATGTCTGGGACCAAGACAAAGCCCACATTTGATTTAACAGAAACATCCTTCCATTTGAATTACATCAATGAAAGACAATGAATTTCACAAATTAGATTCTGCCTTGGTTTGCATAACTCAGCAGAGTTATGAATCCTATAAAAATATAGTTTCCTTGGAGTCAAGCTGGGTTCCAAGGATAATGAAAGGCTTCCTTCCATGTCTTTCCTCCTGTGATGGTTTTGGAAAAGATTGGGGTCCCCTCGCAAAGCTTGGTAGGAGGCACCTTTGGCCCTGGGGCCACATGTTGGGTATGTCCCACTGCTTTAACTTAGGTGTTATAATCAACTGGTCCTGAAGGAAGTTGACAGGAAGAATCTTCAGTTACTGCATGGTGTCCTCTATAAATAAGGTGGAGCAGGTATAAACAAGGCATACTGATCTCTTCTCCCAGAGAGCATCAGCAAAAATGTGCATCTCTCTAAATCAGAGCCAGAGATAGAAATTTAACAGACCTCCAGTCTGGCTTGTCTGTTTTCCTTTTGCTAATGGATAACCTCCAGGGTCTGTTAGATCCTTCTTGGTGAGAAGCGAAGCTTATGAGCTTTACCACATTCTAGCTCACCAATGAAACAAAAGTCACTGAGAAGCCTAATTTTGGGCCTCCTCACAGTGGCATCTATTTGACCCTTCCAAACTTAAGTTCTGGCATTTTGAGAGGAAAAACAAAATGGTCTCCTTTAGGCTGGCCACCTTCCACATCTTTGAGAAAGTCCCATCATCTCTCTGCCAAGTTGTCATAATAGTGTTCTCTCTAGCCCAGTGTTTCTCAACCTTGGCAACTTGAAGATGTGTGGACTTCAACTCCCAGAATTCCCCAGCCAGTGTTCTCTCTAGCCCAGTGTTTCTCAACCTTGGCAACTTGAAGATGTGTGGACTTCAACTCCCAGAATTCCCCAGCCAGTGTTCTCTCTAGCCCAGTGTTTCTCAACCTTGGCAACTTGAAGATGTGTGGACTTCAACTCCCAGAATTCCCCAGCCAGCAGGGCTGGCTGGGGAGTTCTGGGAGTTGAAGCCACACATCTTCAAGTTGCCAAGGTTGAGAAACACTGCTTTGTCTAAGATTACAGGTTCTTTGATCACCACTGGGCTAACAGTGCTCCTTCAGAAGCTATCTATAGGGGACAGATATTCTGAACCTTCTCTTCGCACCACAAGAGTCTTGCAATGTTCTTATGTGAGGATCAAGTTGTACAACTGCTAGCCCCACTTTTTCTCCCTCCTGTGAGAGTTCCAATCCATCACACATGGAGATTGCTGGTTTGAGGAAGGACTTCAAAAACCATCTGTTTTCGTAAGGAAGGATGGAAATAAGGTAGCACAGAGGATCTGCAGCTTCTCAACCTCAACCCCTTGAGGCTTTTCTCTACTTCGCTTGTGGTCACCTGGTATACCAGGACTCATTTATATTCCTCTGCTCTTCCCTGACCTCTTCTGCAGCATACCCCTTTAAGTTCTCCTGGGATCTACATTCGGACTTTGATCCAAGACAGCCCAGCGGCCGCAGATGGCAGACTCTCCATTGGGGACCGCATCCTTGCCGTCAACGGCACAAGCCTCATTGGCTCCGATTATCAGAGGTAGGGGCAAAGTAAGGCAGATGGATTTTTCAGTACAAAGAAGCCCGTGTGTGACATTGACTTCTCTGTGGCAGCTTTTGACAGAGGCTTTGGGAATTATAGTTTGGACTTCTTTGGAGGCAACCAAATTTGGGAGCGTGCTATCCCAAGGCCTGTGCTTGCTACGGGGCATTGATTTTTCCTTCCTTTCTCTCCAGTAGAAATACTGAACGTTCTTGCAAATCTTGGGTCTTGGGGTAATTTCTTATTTCCTAGGCTATATGTAAAAAGAAGTCAAACTCCGTACCCAGAAAACCCAAACGTTGCTTAATTCAATTTTCAAGATACAATGGTTAGACCCTCTACCAAAGGGAGGGGGGAAAAAGTCTCATGGCCATGTAAAGATTAACAAATGCATTATTGCAAGTGGATTGCCATCCAGAAAAGTAATTAATCTGTTAGTGGTTTTGCCGTGAAAGATTAACACAGCTACCTCTCTGGAAAAACTTTTATACATGGGGAAAGGTTGCTCTGCGTCTTAAACCTTGAAGCTTTATTTTTATTTGTGAATTGTTAGCCCATGTTTTCAAGCACACTTTTGCATTAGATGGGCTAGAAACTTCAAAAAGATCAGCGCTACGGCTCAAGCCGCATGTTTTGGTCAAGGGAGAATTCAGGTCTTGTTCGCGCCCAAGGGAAGGCTGCGCGTGCAGACAGATCGCAGATCTTAATATTCCAGAGAGAACTTGCAGATTTCTGGAGCACTTAATTTGTGGAGCCCCATCCTACATTTAGCGACCCATCATAAATGATGAAAAACTCAGGGGAGAAGTGCTGTATGGCCAAAGGAGCTCATGTTTCGCTCATCCTTTTTAGCTTTTCTTCTCTTTCAGCGCTGTAGACCTCATCCGATCTGGGGGAAAGAAACTGTGTTTCCTGGTAGCCAAGTCCGATCTGGAGGTTGCCAAGAAGATCAGCTATAGTTCTTCTCCTTCTCCATAAAAACTGGTCACAAGCGCCCTTCTGTACTCATCGACTGTTGAACGTGTTGCAAGGGTAACAGAGTAAGCTGGTAGGAGCAGCAGTTGCCACACCTGGGAAGTTCAAAATGTTGCCTGGAGTTGCAATTGGTCAATAGGGGTGTGTGTGGGGAGGGGGACACAGTGCCATGGTCTTCTGAGATCCAGAGGTTTTCCACTAAGTGCCCCAGCATCAATTGCAAAGCATTTTTCAAGAGGACAGAAACACTGATCTTCTAGCAACTACCAGGTACTGGGGTTTGGAACAAGCCAAGCCCACCTCCGCTTCGTTTTACAGCGACGAATTCAGTCTGTGTCACACAGTCCTTTAACACAAAGCTTGCACTGACCTCAAATGGTCATTCTGGACCTGCTCCTGCAAAGAAGTTCATTGGTTACAGATATCTTGGTTGGCCCTCTGGACCAACCTGTGTTTGTTGCAACTACTGGTCAAATGAATGGACTTTAAGGGTACAGTATTGGGTTGGTGGGTTTCCATCACACCTGACTGGGAAGCCCTGGAGCTTTCAACTTTGCCACGAGTCTTGCTTTTCCCCTAATGGTCTCTGCATTCAGCTCAGAATGGTCTTTGTCTGGAACCAGCTGCCTGCTGTGGGGTGTGGAAATCAAATCAGGACATTTTAACTAGGTTTGGGAAATAATAATTGCATGCCGGTAACCAAAGATGGATGCTTTATTAAAAAAAACACACCCCTCCCTTGTTAAGGAACAAGAGTACGCTGCTGTGTACATAAGGGAAGGTGGGCTATTAAAAAAAAAAAAAGGGTGGTTCTCTCTTGCAAATGCGGCCAGCTCACATGCAGGATTTCCACCTTTGGGTCATTCATGTGATAAATTGAAAACAATATCGGGTATAGCTCTGGAAAGGAACGTTACAGGAATGCCTGGTCATGATTAGAGGGTCAGATGAAGACACCTTCCGGGTGATCATTCTTAGCTTAGCCTACCTCAGAGGGTTTTTCAGTAGAGCTGTCATATCTGGGCTGCAACCAGCCAGATGAACACTAGATGGCAGCAGATACCCAGAACACACAAAATCTCTGCTGCCATCCAGTGGCTGTCCAGAGATGCAGCAGTCAAGAAAACCATCTGATGTCTGCCTGTACAGAACTCTTAAAGGGGCAGTGCCTCTATCCATTAGCATAACCCACCATTAGAAGACTGTCTGTTCTACTCCGGCCAAGACATTCCATTTTGGGACTTCTGGCAGACAGAACTCACTTATGAGCTTCGCCAGAGTCTGAAAGACCAGCGGCCAACGCCTAGGCAGGTGATGACATTCAAGTATGACTAGACTCAAATTCAAATATTTTCCTCTTAGGAACATCAGATGGTTTGAATTGCTGAGGACCGACAGCCAAGAGGATTGCTCAGCTCTTCCAACCATCACTGGATGCCAAGAGCAACAATCCGTGAGCTGCAACTTTGTCAAGGCCATGCTGCCCTCTGGTGGGCTGCTCAGTCCCACTGCAATCAGAAGGGGAGGACAGAGGAGGATTTCCAGCCCAAAGACAGATGGGATTTGTGGCCAGTAGCTGTGCTGCAAAAATAACTCCTCAAATAAAGTGGATTTTCATTCCTTAGCTACCTAATACCTTCCCTCCCATCTGCCACAGACTGCAGGAAAGTAGACAATTAAGATCATGGTATCCTGTTTCCTCCCCAGTTCCTGTAAACCCAACAGTTCGAAAACTCACATGAGTAGATAAATGGGTACTCTCACTCTGGTGGGAGGAAAAGTGCGGGTGGCGCCTGGCAAAAAGGAGTGGGGGGCAGTTGGGGGTAGGGGCGAAAAACGGGGCGGGCCCGAAAGGGGCGGGAAGCAACG